CCTGACTTTTTAATATGATTGTGCCTACTTTTCGATATACTATTATAATTGTTTTTTTTTTGTGCAGATCCGCATTATATTATTAACATATCCCGGTACAGAAGGGTCTCCAACAACATATTAAATCACATTCTGGTAGATTTGGGTACCTGTGCATCAATCTGTTTCATTCTTCTATCCTAACGTAATGTAAAAACCTATAATGTTATGAATTTTATTAAATTCATCTTAATGTTCTTGGTTTTGATCTTTTAATTGTTTAATAGAGTCTGTCAACTTTATGTATGACCATCCAATTGCATTGTTTTGTCAGTATATGGCATCTAGTGGTCCTAATCACCTCCTCCACTCTAGGCACAATCTAATAAGGATGAAGGGAAAAAGGCAACGTGGTGAAGTTGTTATCACGAGTGATGGAGTGCAACGACAATGTCATCCAAGATGAAAAAAATCCTTAGTGATTATAGGAAATTATTAACTTGCCATTTGTGTTGTTTGCCATTTTATGAATGTTAGAATTTATATGTTTGACATCTCGGAACTGCACAATCTCTTTATGAAATTAGACATTTTGTAAACTTATTTGATAAGGATTTTTTAATAATAATCTCTAGTTTTAGTGGTGAAATGTTGGATTAGGTGTTAAATACAAGTTCTTTGGTGTTTGGTTGTATGTATATGTCAAGTTTGTAATTAATGTATGTGCAGGTGTTGAATAGAACAATTTTTTCTATAAACAATGTTATATACGGATTTTTCCGTATATAATGATATATGGATTTTTATTATGATTATATACAAATTTTACATACGGATTTGTCCGTATATAATTATATACGAATTTTATATACGGATTTTTCGTATATAATTACATACGAAATTTTTTCGTATATAATTATATACGGATTTTTTCGTATGTAATTATATACGGAAAAATTCGTATATAATAGTAGCTACGATCATTTTATATACGGAAACTGTATGTAATACTATTTTATATACGGATTTTTGAGGTTTATACGGATTTTGCGGTAGATAATAACGATTTTTCTTGTAGTGAATGTTGTTTGCTTTCAGTGTGTACCAGAAGGTTGAAGGTTTGAGGTTCAACAAATCCGTACATGTAAGACCGACCTTGGTCTACACACGATTGTGTCCATGTACCTAAAACAAAACAAAGTGAAGTTGTTAGAAACTAGGAATCTAAATAACACTAATATTGGAAGACAAATTACTATCTTACATGCACCACAGTTGAATGAATGAAAATTCAACATCCTTGCTCCCCCAATACCTCTTAATGCATCAGTCATGTGATATATATGGCACATTAAGGGGGGAGACCAAATCCTCTCAAATCCAGTATAGTTATAATGGTGCTCTCCTTCAACCACAACTGGGTATCATTGTGTCATTTAGCTTTTTGATAAGGAGCTCCTCCGCTTCAGCCATGGTCACCATCTTGCAGTTACTGTATCATGAACCGTCTGCTTCTAGGACGTGTGAACTGAGATAAGAATTTCAATTTATCAACAAATATTTTTAAATTTAACATGAGAAATTACTAATAAAAGACATTATACTCTGAGGCGTTTGAACCTAGGTATTATAGGCAAATACCACATCACCTTAGCAGGTGCAACCATCATTACCTTCATCAACAATGTTTTTTGCCATATTCTTTTAAAACGGGATAAACCACATGTTTGAAAATACTTTAGCGAAGCAAACTCCTTTATGTACAAAACACAATCATTAGGACAAGCATGTATGTTTTTGATATTCAAGACCCCATTGGACATAAAAAAAAATTTGCCTCGTATTACGATAGGTAGTATTATTTTTGGACGCATCTCCTTCAACAACTCCAACAACTCTGTGAAATTTGTTTTTTATCGGTCCCCATTCCTTGCTTTTAAAAACTAACAACTTCAAGCCTGCGAAAATTTGATAGGTCGTGTTGAGCTATCAAATTATACTACTTTTTTAAGGAACTTCAGTATTGCCAGTAAGTATTCAAGAGTGGTAGATATGGCTATAAGTAACCCTGGAGTCGTCCTCACCAAGACAACGGAATGCTTTTGAATATCTGACTTTACGAATTGTTATGCATTGCTTATGGAGAAAAGTAATGTTTGGAGCTGTTTAAGAACAAATAATAACTTAAAAATAGTGTACGATGAAATAGGCTAATTCCAGCTTTTCAAGATCGAGATTCATTGGTTTTGCATGGATAATTGTCAATGATTATTGGTTTAAGTTTCAACATTAATTCAAATACATTCTAATTAATTCGAGGGCGATGATGCATTTAACACAAGTAGTAACATTCTCAATCAAATGGCAAAACCCTTCTTCTAATGAGTACTAGGCAATAATTCAAACCAAGGGAGTACTCTCTGGGTTCAAATTCTATTGTGTTTAATCATGTCTATTCTTAAATCTGCGGTCCTAACCAAATTAGAATCAGCGTAAGTCAATCAACTGTAAATGTCTCAATTTGTTATGAGGGTTGGGAGAATTGATTACTGAGATCAAGGTCAAAGTACATTCTCAATTGATAGTATAAAACCCATATTTAATCATGATCAAGTTCCAAAACTTAAATCAAAAGAGATTCTCAATTTAAACATAGAAACCACTAAAAACATATATCAATATGACATGTAGATTCAAAACAACAATTATGATGCAAAAATCTTTACTTTTAAAAAAGAGAGGAGAGGACAAGAAAGGAGAGAGAAAAAAAATGAAATAAAGAAGAAAAAGTAGAATGAATTTGGGGAAAATTAAAAGTCTGAGGAACAAGCTGGTATAGACCATTCTTCACATCAACTGAACCAATCTTCATCTTGGTTTTTGTATCCTGTATGAGACAAGAGTTAGCTGTGAAAAGAATCTGATAAGATGTATTCAAGACCAATTTTGACAGAGAGATCAAATTGAATGTGAATGACGGAACATATAAAACATCAACAAGAGCAAAAGTGGAAGTGAGGTGAACTGTGCCAGCATGAGTTGCTATAACACGATGACTATTAGGAAGGTTAATAGTAATAGGAGTAATGGCATGATATGAAGTGAAAAATTGTAAGGAATTAGAAACATGGTCTGTGGCTCCTGAATCAAGGATCCAGGGAGCTGTGTGTGTTGTGCAAATTATGGATGAGATACTACCTGAAGGATGTGATGTGTGTGTAGAAGAAGAAATTGAACCAATGTGATTAACATGCGCAGAGGTGGATGCTGAAGCAGTGTGAGATGGTTGCTGAATCAAGGCCAATAAAGCTTGATATTGTTGAGGAGTAAACCGAATTTCTGAATTCTCTGAAACAGTATGTTGTTCCTTTTCAGCAACTGGTGCTTCAGTAAGTGAAACATTGTTAGCAGAAGAGAATTTGGCAGTGAAGAAGCGGTGACCAGGAGGATATCCATGCTTCTTATAGCAAACTTCAATGGTGTGACCGGTCTTTCCACAATATGAGCAAATTTTTCCACGAGTGGGGGCACTCTTACAAGCAGAATGATTTGGGAAGCCGTGTTTGCGGTAACAGGTACTTTCAGTGTGACCAGAACGTCCACAAAATGCACAAGCAGAAGCGGTGGTGGTAGGAGCATTAACAACATTTATAGAATTTTGTTTTGTCTCTGTATGAAAAATGTCAGGAATAGAATATTGTCTTTCTTGCTGGGCTACATACGAGAAGATTTTGTTGATTGGAGGTAGAGGATCCATCAACAAAACATGAGAACGAACATTAGCATACTGATCATTTAGACCACGAAGAAATTGCATAGCTTGATCTTCTAATTTTCGTTGAGCAAGGGTTGAAGACAATTTACAAGTACATTGTGCACCACAAGTGCAAACTGGATCTGGCCGAAAATTTTCTAGTTCATCCCAAATAACCCTAAGCTGAGTAAAATAATCGATGACACTGAGATCACCTTGTTTTAGAGAAAAGGCTTCTAGTTGTAGAGTTGAAATGCGAAGAAGATCACCCTGTGAGTACCGAGATTTGAGATCGCGCCAAATTTCCTCTACACAGTCCATCCAAAGGATGCTTTGCCTGATAGATGAAGAAACAAAATGGACAAGCCAGGAGACCACCATGTTATTGCAACGCTTCCAAGCTCCAGAAAGACGATCAGAAACTAATGGCCGTGGAGTGCTTCCATCAATGAGCTCCACTTTATTCTTGGCAGTAAGAGCGGTGAGCATAGATCTGCTCCAAGAATGGTAATTGGTGGAATCAAGTAAAGGAGAGACTAAGGGCATAGCAGGATTTTCATTGGGATGAAGATATAAAAAATGGTGAACGTTAAAAGAGGGATCAGTAGCATCACCCATGGCAGCAGAAGCAAAGAATGGGGATGGAGAAGAAGACCGTTAGGCTCTGGATACCATGACAAATATTAGAGAAATCATAACAGAATGACACGTATTGCAGGCATGCAACGCACTGCACTGTACTGTAATTCTTATTGAATGAGGAACGTGTGTATTTATACAATAGAAGAAGAGAGAGAAAAGTAAAATATCAGAGAAGCACTAGAAGCTTCCATAACAACGGTGAGGCAAAACTAATCCAAAGACTAATCATGATTAAGAATATATATCTCGGCGTGAGGGAGGGGTGTTGGAAGTCTCACATCGACTAAAAATAAGACTAATTTATAATATATAGGGTGCAAACCTCACTTTACAAACCGGTTTTGTAGGGTTGAATTAGACTTAAAATCTACTTTTTAACACTTACTATATATCGATGATTGCTAAAGAAATTAACCTTTTAGGACAGATTTAGTAATTTTCTTTTTGAGAAAAAATCATATAACTTTTCTTAATTTTTATACGTTGAATATTTAATTTTAATTTTTTAACAAAAAAATATATAAAAAAATCAGTTAAAAGTTGAGTAAAGTTGTGTGACTTCACATAATCCTTTACCTATTGAACGTTTCTTATTAAGTAATCTATGTTACATGTTTCATTGCAGATAAACAAACCATATCTTCCATTGGCTGCTGGCAAATTATCCTTCAGAACATGTGCCTTTATTGTTGCCTCATCTGCAATTTTGGTGCCATATATATTTATCCCTTTTCAGAATAACAGATTTTAAGATTATATTACAGAGAAAGGAGAGTCATTGTTTTATTCTGTTTTACAGGGTTTAGGGCTTAACTTGATGATAGGTTCTCCTGCATTGATTTGGAACTTTGTGTTGTGCTTTATATTAATTACTTGCTATTCAGTCAATGTGAGTTCTTTTTGCATTTAAACTTCCTTTACCTTACAATATGTTTGAAGGCATAGGTATGAAAAGGTTACCCATGGTGCACTCGTTGCTGTCATGCGTATTCTTACATACATACATACACACACACACATATATATATATATATATATTTGATGCTAATATAACAGTGTTCTGAAACTGTGCAGCTGCCGTTGTTACGATGGAAGCAATATCCGGTGCTGGCAGCATTATTTACGATTATTAGTTGGACATTTATATTTCCAATTTCATACTTCCATCATATGCAGGTTCTGTCCAATCACTAATCTGTTCCTCTTATAGATCTTAGATTTGAATAAGCATGTTCAAACTTAAATAATAATAACAAATCTTCAACCCAAGATTTTTGGGTTAGTTTCATTTGATATACAATCAACCATTTGAATCTACCATCAGAAATGGATTTGTTAAATTGCTAATTGATGTAACAAATGTTCAGACGTTTGTGTTCAAGAGACCAGCTGTGTTTACAAGATCTTTGATTGTTTCTCTGCTGTTCTTGACTTTCTACACTACTGGTATAGCATTAGCCAAGGTAAACTGTCTTTATTTTCTCAGGATATATGTATTGAATTGTCCAACATCAAACTTTTGGTCTAACAGTGTAAAACCTTGTATTGGACTTGTGTAGGATATACCAGACGTAGAGGGAGATATAAAACATGGCGTTGATTCTTTCGCAGCACGTTTAGGCCAGAAAAATGTATGTTTCTTGAATTCAATATTTTCTTAGGTTATCTTCTCTTTGAATGACATTTGATTGATTCTAAATCTTTGATAGGTATTTTGGATTTGTGTTTTCCTTCTCGAAATGGCATTTGGAGTTGCCTTTTTTGCTGGAGCATCATCTTCGTCTCCCTTTTTGATTAAATTTGTCACGGTAACATGTTTATTATATGTATATAGGTTGGAATTTTATTAGGCAGGCATAATTTATTTATTTTTTCCTCAACACGGAGTTCGATTTTGATAGACAAATGTCTTATAATTTATAATAATACGCTGTTTTGTTTGATTGTTTTTTTTTAAAGGAAACTTTTTTTTTTCAAATAAATTAAACAGATTTGTATATGTTTTCTATATTTGTCTATTATTTTTCTTAAAGTAGCTTTTTTATTTATGTATTTTGAGAAGTAATTTATTTCCACTTCTTTAAGATGTCATTTTTTAAAATGTCTTAAAATACATATTTAAAATTATAAATACTAGGTGCACTCGTTGCTGTCATGGTGCACTCTAGAAAAGGTTGTCTTTATTGTGTAGATTATTTCAACATTTTAATCTCGATAAAGGGTAAAAAATTATCTTTAAAATAAGTAATATTTTAGTACAAACATAGGGTTATTGGTTTTTACATATCATTATCGAAAAGTTATTTAAAATTTTGAACAAAATTTAAAGTTTAATCTGTTCTATGGTTTAGGGTCTAGGAAATGTTGCTCTTGGTTCGATTCTCTGGTACCAGACAAAATATGTAGATGTGACAAGTACCGCTTCCACTAAATCCTTCTATTCATTTATCTGGAAGGTAATTTTTCTCCTAAACACTGGTTACCATTAGTAGTTCAATATCCAACAGTTATCTAAGCAATTTTCCAACTTTTTTGGTAAACATAGTGAGTTGATTTCTATTGATTTCAATTTTCAAAACAACAATTTTTATAGTTCAAATGATGTAATCAGTCATATATCAAACTAATGTTCTATTTTAGTTAAAAATTCAATATAACTTAAAGCTTGGAACAAACCAGCACGTGAATTATTGCCAGTTTATCTATATATTATTAGGAAATTTTTGTACTAAATTATTTTATTATTCAAAGTTGAATATGATAACGTAGTACTTATGTGTTTGTTTTTGCAGTTGATGATGGCGGCACAGCTTCTCCTGCCTTTAATTAGATAAGGGGTGTCACTCAAGATTAAAACATATGTGTTCTCTATAGAAGATGAGTTTTGTATTACTGTGTTTTTTTTTTAATTGTGATGATTTGCAGTATCTATATCGAGCTTTATCTCTATATACACATCTTTCATAGATGGAATAAGAAAATAGAAGCAACTTTTTACGATATGATTACACTAAAGAATATGAGTGCTAATAAGTCAGCTTTTTTTTTCTGCTGCAGGGTGTTAATTTATAAATACACTCAATATAAAATCATCTCCCTAAAATATGAATCAGAGAAAGTAGAAGTCTTTCATTGTATACGTTAGGTTCACAAAAATATTAACAAAAAAAGATACGAGCAAGATAAGAAGAAATTTTTTACTAATTAAAAGGTTTTAATAAGAACTCTAAGAAGTTTGTGGTTGAATAAGAGTTTCATCGATAGGATTAGTCATGTGAGAAGGTTTGCTTCTAAGAGAATACTATGAACATACACAAAATGAACAAGACTGAAACAACAAGAAGAAAGAACAATAACAACTTGGATTTTTAAAAGGAAAGAATAAGATCAATATCATACAAAATCAACTCATCTCGTACAATTTATGGATTAATTTTGTTTTGATGATTAAATAATGAAAGTTTAATTTGAATTAGTTTGGAGATTAATAAATTTGAAATGTTTTATATCTCTTTATTATTTAGAACATAAAAACACGAATATGTTGTACAGTTACCATTATAAGATTATGAGTGTGAAAATCTACTTCCAATAACAGAACAAAAACACTAAATAAATACAAATAATTCAAACAAAAAAGAAAAAAAATATATCTAACGTGTATTATAGGCACCTATGTCCTTGGTTTCTTTTTAACGGACACGTCAAAGATTTGATATCAACCAAACTCATATAATATACTGTCACGTTACTTTTTAATAAAATTTTAATATAATAAGTTTGTGTTATTCTTCGAGCACATTTCTATCCATATGGGGGCTTTTAGTAATTTGAGTTTAAAGTATATTGTAATTACTATATATAATTTATTAAGAACAATTTTGACACGAAAACAATTCATTTTAAAAATATATCTGTCAATTACCATCATTCCCTATAATATATATATATATATATATATATATATATATATAAAGAAAACATCATCTAAATGTTAACGTAAAATGATACAAGATCAATTATAAAAAGATAAAATAAAATTATTTATAATTTTTTCATTCATATTCATAAATTTCTTCACATTTATATTTTTCATAAACACTCATCTCATTCATTTTCTTTGTCTATACTCATATTTTTCATCTACACATAACTCTTTCATTTATATTTTTTTTCATCTTAATTCACATTTTTCTGCTCATCTCCTTCATTTGTAATAATTTATTTTCATCTATATTCATATTTTTCATTTACACTCATGTTCTTAATATATTATAAGTAATTAGTTTTGTTTATGCTGAATGGGACCGGGGAAAATTCCTGCTACCTCCGTCCGGAAACACTCCTCCTTCTCCGATCGGTCCTTTTCCCTTCGCTCTCCTCGCACCTCTTCGTCACACAAATGGGTTGACCTACAGCAAACACTCCGACGCTCAAGTCAGAATGGGCTTTTGCAAGTCTATATAATTATCAAAGAACATAGAGTTTACCTTCCCCTTTGACTGCTATTTATATGATTTTAGAGAATATTACCCATTAATTTACCTCTTAATGGCTTTCAATGCACACTTTAAATACTCGACAATGACCGTTACCTCATTAACTACACATTCATGAGCATTCAACGGCTGTCTCCAGTCTACAGTTTTATACATCTGCCCAATCGGACACGTTGTGCAAAAGAGTTCCGATCGGACATATCAGGCTGGAACACCCGATCGGACATGTTAGCCTTGCTTCCACCCGCTCGGCCTTGTCCAAACCTTCCCGGTCGGTTGTCCGCCCTTGGTAGTAACACAAGTCCCCCAAGCCCTAGCAAAAATACTTTTGCGTAGGGTTTTGAAGTGACCTCCGTTTGGCCTTTCTCTCTCTTTGTCTAACCAAGTCTTTAACACACTAACATTTGCTCTGGTGAGAACTGTAAAGTCACGACTGTAACTTTTAGGCGGGAAATGTGAAAAAACGAAATGTCTTACCGCCTGAACCGTCAGATTTTGCTATCACCGAAACGTCACGTCTCTCAAACCGTCAGATCTCTTGACGTTTGATGCTTCGGATATACCAGTTGAGTCGGTTGTAATCTTAGTATAAATACCCATACTTTTACCCTAATTTTTTACTTTAATCTCCTCGCCGTCGCCAGCCTCTCCTTCCTCTGAATCTTCCTCTGCTCCTTTCGTTCTCCACGCCTCAGGTAACCATGTCTTCTGATTTCTCCGGCAACGAGGGTAGGGGGTATGCTGACGATGACAACGCCAGTCCATCTTCATCCCTGGCTGCATTTACCGGTCTCGGCGCTAGGGCCTCACCTTCAGGGAATTCCTCCGATCTCCTGGTTGACAGTGATGCTCCTAAGGAAGTTGCCATCCATGTGGACTCAACCGACGCTTGGGATGGGAAGCCCCGAGCTTGGCCACCTGTTCCCGGCTACGATTGGGTGCCTCATGAAGTTAGGAAAATTCCCTCTTCTTTTTACGATCGCCAAGCTTTCCGCAACTTAATTAACCACATCTGTCTGGTCAAGTCAGCTGCCGACGCCAGGCATTTCAAACTAGCGTGTCTGTCACGGTCGGTGCAACTACCCCACTGACGTCTTCTACGTTTATGCCACTATGTTCAAGGATTTGAAGGTTCTTCTGCCCTTCTCTGATTTCCAGATGGGTGTACTGAGAACACTTAACTTGGCTCCCACCCAGCTTCATCCGAACGGTTGGGCCTTCATGCAAGCGTTCTCCGCCATCTGCTCCGGTTTGGCTCTCAAACCGACTCCTGCCGCCTTCCTTTATTTCTTTCACGTACAGCCTCACCCATCCAAACCTTGGGTTTCCCTTCGGACGGTCGGGAACAAACATTTGTTAACCCTTTACAACAGCTCCTATAAGGACTTTAAGAATCACTTCTTTAAAGTTGTGCCAACGGAAACCGGATACCAGAGCTTCTGCTCTTCGGCCCAAGAGGCCAAGTTTCCTTTTTACTGGACCCGAGATCCCCGGAAGGTCCACTACAAGAAATAATAAAATTACATACGGATAATTATATACGGATTCATATCCGTATATAAATGAGATATTATGTACGGAATTTATGTACGGATACCAGAAAAAGCTTTATATACGGATATTATATACGGATATTTATATACGGAATTTTCCGTATATAAATTCCGTATATAAAGTTTGCGCGTGGTGGCGGGAAAATTATCTAAGGAATAACGTAATGTAATGTTTACATCCAAAGGCTAAACACATAGAACAGTTGTCAGTTATTAGTTAGAAGTAAACAGCTGACAGCTGTAGTTTGTTCAAATGAATAACGTAATGTAATGTAGTGTTCCTCTGTCTTTATAACCATGTGTTCTGCAACAGAGGTTCACTGACTTTTATAATAATACTCTATAATGGTAAACTGATTTACAAATTCAACCACATTTCTTAATTTCTCTTTGTTGATTGTCTCGGTTTGATTTTTTTTTGTTAGAAATCTCAACCTCCCACCTCACCCCATCTAAAAGAAACAAGAAATAGGGGATAATTCGAAAAGTAATACTTGTGGGAACACTATTGCAAGATTTAGGACACCCATTGACAATCCTGGAAATACTAACAGTTAATATAAGTAGCCATAAAATACAATAATATACT